ATAAGATGGTCACAACGTGATGGGACAATGTGTGTGTTGGTAGTGAGTAATTGAACTGCAGTCAGAAAGTATTGTTGAAGTTGAGCACGTTCGTTGTTATAGCGCGACTGTTGGAAATAAGTGTATCGGTAAAGTTGTATTCGGAAAGAAAAAAATAGTTTTATTAAGTAAGGACTTGTGTCGCTAAAGTTTCGTCGGAACGAAGTTACGGGAAATCAACTAACGAACGGAGACGTAACAGTACTTAACTTCTGTATATATACATGTATATATATCTACAGACTAGGTGATTTTTGTTCAACTCGAAGTTTACGAATTATTAACAAGTGAAGGCCTTACGACAGTTTGTTATTATGATTTATACTGTTATTAATTCTTTAGGTATGACATGAACATTCATGAAATTTTAAGAGCTTGACGAAGATTCACAATAGATGTTTCCAAATCAAGTGACCTCAAGGGAACTATGTCATAATAATCCAGTGTAAGTTGCACGTGCATTCAGTTAAGTTTAAAAGCTTCATTTTTAGGTACAACTAGTGATTTACTTGGTTACATGTTTACTTATAGTGTTTCTTAACTTTCATTTTCAGGAATAAATGCTGAAAAGTATAGTCATTTTACAAACTTCAGTTAATTTAGCAAATCAATTATTTGTAGGGCTTCTGATTTTCGGTTTTCGCTAATATCCCCCCTCCGGTACAAAAAAAAAAGAAATTGGAAATAGTTATTCACTCTACTGGACAGTAGCTACTTTTATGACTACATTACCTTGGAATGTTACTCTGAAGGAAAAGAACACGTTTCGGGAAGTTTGTTTTAATAATTTCGTCCCCCCCCCCCCCAGTGGCACAGCGGCATGTCTGTGGATTTACATCGCTAGAAACCGGGTTTCGATACCCGTGGTGGGCAGAGCACAGATAGCTCATTGTGTAGCTTTGTGCTTAACTTTAAACAAAACCAAAAACTAATTTCGTATAAAATACAAGCTGCTTTTACAAAGCTTTAACACATATATAATTATGTTTTGTACCTATTATTACTCCCATAAGAGAAAATATTGTGCAGAGAATATGCGGTATATTAGTACACCCATTAGTATTAAAAATCAAAACTACGAAAAACACCTTTATTAAGGTTTCGACATAAAACTAAAAATGAAAACCCTGAAAAGCACCGATTGTGAGATATTTAAGTAGAACTATAAAACTGAAAAAATCACACTGAAAAACAGAAGCCCTAATTAAATTACTTGTTGGTAAGCTAACGTCACGTAAAACAAGTTTGAGAAACAATCTATTTATCAATTACAGAAAACACTTTCTTGGGTCTCGTTTTGAAGTAACAGATTCTGCTTTTAACTCAAACCAAAGCGGATCCCAAGCTCTCAGTCTCAGCCAACTGGAATTTTCTCAACTTCCAAACTCACAGGAACTCTTTTCACAAGCACAACATTCAAGCAGTGGTCAAGGCCAGGATGTAAGAAATGTGCCTAAAAACCCTTTACTTTTTGAATATTTAGTGTCGGTATAAAATTTGAAATTCATTACATATCAAAATATTAAACGCTCGAAGAACTATATTAAGGCACGGATAACAACCTTAAACAGTTATGTATGGTCATTTTCAAGTATAAAAAGAGAAAAAATTGGAGGCCAAAGATAATATTCTCTTTATCAATTTTAAAATTAAGTTTAAAAATAAAATTAATGTGTAAAAATAACATATCTAATAGTAAAGAAATTTTATTGGTGTCAAATTATAAGTTTTGTTAAAAAGCCAATACCTACTATTGTCATCAAATTTAAACAAATATTCACAATCCTAAGAGCAAAATACGGAGTTTACTATATCGGGTTTACATTTTGAAACTTGTAAAAGAAGTATAAATGACCATTTCTGTGGAATATTAACTAAATAAATAACAAAGATGTTTGCGTTTCATTCAAGTAGTTACTTACATTTTTCATTTGGATATTTATCATAAATTATACTTATATGATTGTCATGGAGTTTTTCATAATTTCAGTCTCCTGGTCGTAAGTTCTACCAAAAATATGTGTCACAAGGACCGTTGTTTAATAAACAACAATCTGTCAACTGTGGTCGGCCATCAGCAAACTTTGTTAGAGATTTAGACATTACCGAATTACGGAAAATAACAAAGGAGAAAGAAGAAAGGTTTGTCAACAGAGATCTTTAGTAGGAATAGCTCCAGTGAAATCGCAGTAGCCACCTGGTAATCTATGTATGAATAATTCAGACTTCCATGTTTTAGAAGCACTCAGAAAATGCAATTTAACCATGATGCAAAAAACCGCTTAGTTATAAGGCATCATTAAGACATTATTCGAAAGGTTTACTGCTGTAACAGTAAAATGACATTTAGTCATCTGGTTAACAAAAAGACATTGTACATTTTAAATCGTAGATTGGTTTAAAGAATGAAATTTAAAACACAGGCAATATTTAGCCACGTTCAAAACCCCTTATGGACTGGCAAAAAAACAACAACCTGACAACAGGGTATTTTGTACTATATTTTTGATGTATTCCTTTTATAGTTTTGCTAAGGCATCTTATGAAATGAATGAAAGATAACTGTTTAATTTTAATTAACATCATTATTGAGTGCAAATTGCATACAGTGTTTTGAAAATATTAGCATATATTTTAAACATTCTTGTCTGACATCTTATAATCTTTCAAAAGGAATTCTCATTTTTATGCTAGTACCCACTCATTTAAATTTTATAGTAGCTAGAATTTGATACATCAGTTTCCCAATCGTTTTATTCCATTAACAACTTTTGTTTCATTAGGTATAAACGAGATGTTTGTACATTCATATAACGATCTGGTAGTTAGAACACTCGACTCGCAAATTGCGGTTCGAATCTCATCACTGAACATGTAGGGGTGTTATAATATGATGATCAATTCCACTTTTTGTTGTTAAAAGAGTAGCCCAACAGTTGACGGTAGGTGGTGTTAACTAGCTGCATTCCCTCTAGTCTATCATTTCTCAATTAGTGCATATATAGCCCATGAATAACTTTGCACGAAATTCCGAAAACAAACATATACATACATATTTTAATTCGACAAAATCCAAACTGACTTTTCAGGAATAATTGAAATCTAACATAAGTGCCAAAACAGCATTTCAGTATTGATATAGTCAATCTTCATATAGGTTCTCTTTGTATTTCGTTAGTATATTCAGCTTTGCAAATTTAGCAATAGATGTGATAGAATGTTTGTTTGTTTGGAATTAAGCTCAAAGCTACACAATGGGCTATATGTACTCTGCCCACCACGGGTATCGAAATCCAGTTTCTAGCATTGTAAGTCCGCAGACATACTGCTGTGCCAATGAGGGCGTGAGAGAATGACACCTAGTCATTAAAATCAACATTTAAAATGTTATTTCAATATATATGTTATTGGATGAAAACAACAAATTCTTTAATGTCGCCCCCTCCCCCCCCGATGGGAGTGAGGTAAGTCTACGGGCGTACAATGCTAAAATATGGTGTTCGATCCCCCGTGGTGGATACAGCAGATAGCCCAAAGTGGCTTTGCTCTAAAAAAAAACAATCAAATGTCTTATAGATGTCAAAAGTGAAAGGAATGAAAGGCTTTAATATACCGCCCTCTAGGATAATGTATATTTTGTTTTATCAAAAAATTTAGCAAATTATTTAGTGGAAATATTAAAGTGTATTTTAAGTAAAAACAAAAAGTGGAGGGACAACCTAGTAAATTAAATAAGATTACACAGTTATTTGTTTTGTTTATTTTTAGGGACTTACTGACTACACTGCTACACTCTGTTAAGGAATGCTACACCAAAACCTCGGAGGTTCTCGGAGTACTCAAGGATGTCTCTCATAAAGAGGAGCAACAGTCTTTGAATCACAATAAGGAATGCCTCGCTGAAAGTAAGCATATATCTTATTCAATTCTTATAATGAATTGAGTCTACACAACGGTAGCTGTGTGGTAGTTAAGAAAACCGCAACGTTTTAACCTTCTATAACTTAGAAAATAATGCATCTTTATTTATATATTTTTCGTGCAGGAATTCTACAGTTAGCCGTCGTTCGTGTGTACAGTATGCGAATATTCGTAAACTTGCATTAGTTCTCGCCGTGGACTAGGGTTATACACCACAATGATGTTTAATCTCCCCTTAGACATGTATACTGACAGTGCACTCGGATCTAGATAAACTAGGTTTGTGGCATACCGCACTAAGACTTATTTCTCTGAAATCAGCTTGTCAATACCACCCACTTTTAACTCTTTGGGTACTCTTATCAATGAATAGTGAGATTGACCTTCAATTTATAACGACCCAATGGCTGAAAGGGCAAGCCTTAGGACGTTTGATAGCATACACACATAGCCTGTAGATTCTTTTCTAATGAATACATGCTCTATTCTCAGTGTTCTAACATCCCGATTGTTCATACTAGCTTTGAGGCTAGCCAGTAATAATATGTTTGTTTGTTTTAGAGCATAGCCACATTGGGCTATCTGCTGTGTTCATCACAAGGAATCAAATCCCGGATTATAGCTTTATAAGTCTTGTAATAACTGGGAACAATAATAATGTGAGACTCCAGTATAATTTGTAGTTTGTGTATCAATTAAGATTATTGCTATTATTTGTTTTACGTGGTTGCTCAAATCTTTCACCCCATTTTTCGGTTTCATTTAATATTTGCAAAACATTTTTTGAACTTAAATACTGCATTTGAATAATTTTTCATGTTGGACTTTAAAATTAAGAACAAAATCTTTTAGTATCTTAAACAAATTTAAAATATATATATTAAATTAACAAAAATTATAATCTGTAAAATAAATTAAACTTATAAAAGCACTTTGATAAAACAAAAAAGTTTCGTGTTTAATACTTCAATGTTGAAAGTTTCAGCCAAAACACACAATGTATGTATATATTATACTGAAGAAAAAGAATAGGTCTGACAAATATGTCTTCTTCGTAATCACCAACAAATAACATTTTACTTTACCCTTTAACTCAGATGAATAAAATATATTTTTGATATAATTTTACATAGAAGCTACTGATGATAGCAAGCCAGAGATACTGAAACTTATTAGCTCTGAGTTAGTAACTTTTAATGATTTTAACTGTACTACAATGTTGTTGTCTATTCTTATTTTTTTATATTATTTTGATATATTTTTGTTCCTAAAACAAATAACAAAAAGCATTCAAGTATCATCTTGAGGAAAGTTCATGCAGAATAGCTTTTTAACAACGTTGAGAAACCAGTCGATTATAACAATGATTCAATTTAAGTTAAATTGCACCAAAACTGTGTTTGACATCTACTCTATTTCTGTATTCTCTAGTAAAAAATTCGGTTTCTGCAGTTTGTGAAGATCTGCTCTCAGCTCTTCGTTGCAAGGACAAGGAAAGTGTTGAACATGAAGAACTTGTTAAACAACTTGTCAAGGTAATTTTTCATTTTATTAGGCTACTACATGAACTACTTGTTTGTTTTCCCAGGACACATTTTTCAAAGTAAAACCCAAATGTTTTTCATCAAATTTTTATTATTAGTTTTACATTATGAATAGAGGTTCTATTTAAACTTTACATAGCTCTGTGGATGGTGATTTTGTGTAAATTATAGAGGTTGAGTATGTCATATTAAAATGATTTTGGAGTCTCACCACATTCTTACAGTCCTTGTTGCTACATCCAGTCATGCTATGTCTGACAACTGTATATCTTAACCCTAACCACCAGGTAATGCCAAGTCCCCCACAGAGTTGACTTTCTTCAATGGTATAAAAATAAATTATCAGGAAGTAAACAAAAGGTGTGCATAGCTTACATGGAAACACCATTCATAAAGATAAGTATAGTTGACATGGAACTCATATCAATAGAGAGTGTATATAGTTCATATAAAACCTTCATCCATACAGTTATGTAAAGGGCTGAGCTTGTTATATTAAAGTGGTTTTGAATATGCAAATAATGTGACAATCACATGTGGTATACAGTCTCCATGAAATAGTATGTATCATAACTACATTATAACATTGTTCTGCATATCATAGGTTGTGTTATGCCATCAAAAATTGATCACTTTTGGGAAGGGGACATAAAAGCCTTTTCTGTTGCAAAATATTCATACCCTGAGGTCATAAAGATGTGTTCAGATTGTGGGTTTAGAATTTTCAATACAGGAATATTCCTTTAAACTTAAAGAAATTGGAAAACAAATGAATATGGGTCATCTTGGGGCAGGAGGACCATCAAGTAAAAGACCTGCAACATGTTGCACCCTTACCAAGGTAAAAAAAAGTACATCTTGTAACAGGTGATAATCCACAAACATTTAGGTCAGTGGCAAAACTGCACATGCTTAAGGCAATATTATCTAGCACTAGAGTGTATCCATATCACACCACTCGAACATTTAGAAGAATCATGAATCCTCAAATATACTAGGGCCCGAATCAAGATCAGAGGCAACTATCTGATTGGTGAGTGACACTGTTAAAATGAAACTTGAAACACGTTTCTTTGCTCACATCTAGCTTAATTACATTTGCCAGAATAAAATTGGCATTAATTGCAGAATTGGTGGTTTCACTCAGCATGTCTAATACTTTGCAAAGTTGCATAAAATCCTGGGTGCTCCAGTATTCACTAGAGAATCAACTTCATGTTTCATCACCACTACATTCCATGTGATGACAAGCTCATGGTTGTTTGAACCAACTGACAGCCTTTAGATATAAATTGACAACCCTATTTTACAACAAGCTATAGAATATTCCACATCCAGTAACCTGATAAACCACATTTAAAACAGGAGCAATTTCCTTTATGTTTTAGGCAACTTAATGGAAGTCACTGCTGCTTAATTGTTGGTGTAGTCACGGTAGTTGGATATGAAAACTTCTGCTGTTCCATAGTGAGTCATAGCAGCTACATCATGGTACTGTTCAGTACCTGCAGTTGTAGAACTGTTGGTCAATGCTTTGGTTGAATAATAATGTCTTCACAGACCTTTCAGTTTGTTTGAAGCTACATAAACCACTGCTATTGGATTCCTCTTTTTTTTTCCCCACCATCTGGTTTGATGTGACCTTCTCAAATCATGCCACCAAAAAAAAAAGGACTCAGTAACAGAGAAATATCTCTGAGACCCTTGTGATGCTGCATGGGTTTATGTGGCAGTCTCTCTATAAACTTATAAATGAGAACCTCATCACCATCGACGGGTGACAAACTTGGAAAGACCTTCCCATACAAGATCCTTTGGCCATTACACAAGTAGCCAACTTTGCATAGAATCCATACTTTTGAGCCATATGTATTGTTCATTTATCCACACTAGCAGAAATTCCACCCTATGGGTGACCGTTTGTGTTAGTAATTACTAACTGTAGTACCTCTTTGAACAAAATTTAGGAAAAAATGAAAATTTTCTAAAAAAAAAAAAAGAAAAAAAAAAGGGGTTTTTTTTTTTGGGGG